AAAAACGAAGCATTCGTGATCCAATATCAGACATCCTATTTTAACCTGTCATAGTAGTCTGGTTCACATGTACTCGATTTAGCTCTTTTTGGTGACATTTTTCAGCCCTGTCCAAAAATTACGACCAAGGTGTCATTCGACTCGTATTTTTGCCTAGAAAGTTTAAGGAAGGGTCCGAAAACGCGCCGATAAAAATTACAAAAGTTATAAACAATTAAGTGAGAAAAAAATGGGGCTTTAGTTTTTTCTTAATATCTCGGAAAATTTTCAAAATTTTGGAAATTTGAAAAAAGATTTGAAAAGATCAATGAATTTGCGTAAAAAAAGTCCTGACTCCCGAAACTGTATCTCGATTACACAGCTCTACAAAAAAAAATTGTGTTGCCCTGGATATTTTTGCAAATTTTTATGTTTTCGAGTGCCTAAATCACGAATATATTTATGAAAGTACTGAATGTGCTCTATTTTTTATGATTTTTCCGTATCTTGTATTTTTAATAATAATCGGCTTGTTAGTAAAAAAAAATTATTTTCTCAGTCATGATTAGGCTTCTGCGCAACTTCTTTGCGCGTACAAACATCACGTGATCCCCACTTCTAGGGCTCCTTGCTCTGCAAAACAGCTGAGAACTCAGTTATTTGATAATATTGAAGTACTAACACGGAAATCTGGATAAGTTGTTATATGTTAATATTTTGTTTCAATTGTTGAGTGTCCGTTCTAATATATTTATCTCGTCTTTTTAAACATGAGTTTGTCACGAAGGAAGTGCAAATATAGTAGTGATTTATTCTGTTATATTTGTGGTATTTATATATCAAAAAAACAAAAAAGAAATATCACAGACTTTGTTATGCTGAATATTTCGGTTTTAAAATGGACAAATTAGATAAATCATGGGTTCCTAATAAAGTTGTAAGTCTTGCGTTGAGTCTTTGCGGTTGTGGAAAAAAGGAGAACGTTCTGGATTAGACTTTGTTTGGTATTCCTATGATCTGGATGGAGCCTAAGAATAATTTCGATGATTGCTACTTTTGCGTAGTAGATGCTAAAGGTTTTAATCGAAATCAAACGTGGAGATATCCAGACTAACAGTCTACAAAATGTCCTGTTTTACACAGTGAAAATCTCCCTCGGCCTATTTATGATTCAAAAGTGATTCGCATGCCCTCAGAAACAATGATGTTGCCAAATTCACAGAAATCGAATCAGTCTACCAGTGGAAGTGAATGGGAGGGTGAAACATCTACGCCAAAGTTGTTTTCTCAAAATGAACTCAGTGATTTAATACGTGATCTAAATTTATCAAAACAAGGATCAGAACTGTTAGCTTCAAGATTGAAAGAAAAAATTTATTGGCACCGACAGTTACAATTACAACGTACAGAACGCGAGAAAGTGAGCTGTTACAATTTTTTGATGAAAATGAAGGATTGGTATACTGTAATAATATTGCGAAGCTGCTCCTGGACATGGGTTTGAAAGAATACAAACCCAATGAGTGGCGTTTTTTCATTGATAGCTGTAAAAGAAGTTTAAAATGCGTCTTACTGCATAATGGAAATGAATTTGCATTAATTCCAATTGGTCATTCTACAAAACTCAAAGAAGAATATGAAAATGTCAAATTAGTTTTAGAAAAAATCAATTACTCGGAGCATCAATGGTCGATCTGTGTGGATTTAAAAATGGTTAATTTTTTACTTGATCAACAAAGTGGATACACGAAATACCTTTGCTTCATTTGTATGTGGGACAGTAGAGCAAAGCAACGTCATTGGGAACAAGATGTTTGGCCTGAAAGAATATTTTTTTCCTTTGGTGAAGTTATCCTTAATAGGCAAAAAATAGATTACCGTTGCCAAAATAAAAAAAAATTGTTATTTTCTATTTTTTTAATGTTATTTTCAATTTTATCACTCTTCAGCCAATCATAAAACGCAGTAAGTAAAAATTATCCAATACGAACCTCCAATTCTACAGTACACGTGGACTATTTCGCAGCCGGTTCATTTCTATGTATTGGTTTTTTTGCCTTTGAGAGTGTTGCCAACTTCAAGAGTGCAAAATATCGTTTACTTCGACTAAACAAAGAAACACGTTTTATAAATCAAGTCAATTTCGGTCAGAAATTGATAGAGGCGAAAAATTGTGGAAAAAAAACTTGCAGGTGACACTGCATTCTCATAAATCAAGAATAACTGTCAATCTTCTATGAATTTAAATTTATGCTAATGTAGTCCATTGTTTTAGGAATTCCTTAACACAAAAATTATAACCGTATCCACTTTAATTTTTTATTACTATCCAGTTCAGACTTGCGTCTGTCGATGACCGCACTAAAGAACAATGCAATAACTGCCAGTGATATATGAAAATTTCCAAATAACCCTGTGAAGGTCATTCCATTGTGCTGTGTCATCTTGAAATCGCAAAGGTCGCAGAAACGCGATGCGCGCATAAATTCATGTGTATGGCTAAAGAGAAGAAAACAAAGTTATCCTTGGCCACGGGTACCTTCGATTCCAGGTCATCAACCCATAACAAGTAGAGTTGTTGGGATGAATCCTCCAGTCAGCGAACTTATAGTCCGGGCAAATTAGACTAAAAAATAAGAGTGAAGGTACATACATTTACAACACGCTGCAAATGCGTGTAATTGTTCAAAACAAAGTTAAAAACAAGATTTTAAAATTCCCAATGATTGCGATGCCAGGAAAAAAATTATTCGAGGTCAAAGGTCAAAAATCTCGAAAAAAATTGGTTTTTCACGATTTTCAGGAATACGGTAAGTTTTATCATGAAATAACCTCCGATAAGAATTGTAGAACATAAAATTCTCTACAAAAAATGTATCAATACTTTTTTTCTTAGAGCCACCGTTTCTGAGATACGATGAGTCAAAAAGTTGTAAAAGTTGTAATCGTCATTATATGCATAAGCTCATTTGAAGTGCGTTAAAGAAATGCTTCCTTATTTTCACGCCTCTGGCCATTTTCTTTATGCTAAGTCTGCACACCTTTACTTGCAGGATATGCAACAATTACAAAATTTAATAGATCCCGAAGTGTATGATTATTAAAACAGCTATAGAGCAATTTAATTTGACAAATACAACTATTGTTGTTGGTGAAGATGTAGACTTACTGGTACTTCTTACTGCTCGAACTCCACCTGAAAAAACTATTTTCTTTCTGAAGCCAGGAAAAGCTCAAAGTCAAACCGAAATATATTCGTCAAAAGTTTATCTACTTTTGCAAAGAGTCAAAATTATGTACTAATTTTACACGCAATAACTTGCTGTGATACGACGTCTGCATTTTACAGGAAGGGTAAAGCAACAGTCTTTAAAATGTTTGGAAAACAAGACTTAGTTCAATGTGCTGAAGTTTTCAAAAAAAGTAATTCGTAAATAATTCGTAAATTTCGTAAAAACACTAAAAATAAGAAATAGGTGCAATTAGCTTGTCTTCCTCCAATCTCAGTTGCTTCTCATCAACATCTTTTACGAGTATATTCCCAAGTTCAAGTGTGGCTTGGTTATCAGCTAGACACAAAAGACTGGGGTTGGAAGTTGGTCGACAATGCATTAGAACCTATTCAGACTTTACTCCCACCTGCGTCGGAAAAACTGCTGAACACAATTTTTTACAACTGTAAAAAGGGATGCAGCGCTAAATGTGATTGTAAAAAAGTTGTACTGCTGTGTTCTCTGTCATGTAAACATTGTCAAGGCCAGTCATGTTCTAATGCTGAATCACCAATAGTGGAGGATTCATTTGATACCAACGAGGAAACATGCGATACATCACTCTTGACGCAGTTTACCTACACCCAGGATGAACATCAAGATGAAGAAGATCAAGAAGAAGACAAAGTAGAAGAACGACAAGAAGAAGTATTTGAAGGTTATGACTCAGATGAATACATTTTAAATTTTTTTTGATATAAACAGCTTTTATAATTTCCGACCCTTGCTAATATATTTTATTGTGCAAGTTTTCAATTTGACAGAATCACAACAGACATGTGGAATAGGTCTATTGGGGAAAGCACTTTAAAAAAACGCGCTAAGTACACTACCTCATAGATGGCGTGGAAGTGTGTGCATATAATGACGATTACAACTTTTTGACTCGTCGTATCTCAGAAACGGTGGCTCTAAGAAAAAAAGTATTGATACACTTTTTGTAGAGCATTTTATGATCTACAATTTTTATCCGAGGTTATTTTATTATGAAACTCACCGTTTTTTTTTACTTTTGACCTCGAATAATTTTTTTTCCAGACATCGCAATCATTCGGAATTTTGAAATCTTATTTTTAACTATGTTTTGAACAATTACACGCGTTTGCAGTAAATTTATGTACTTTCCAATGTCTAGAGTGACCGGATTATTACGGTCGTTCTTTCCGTAAGGTAATGAATGCCAAGTTCAATCGACTCAACCGATGATTCAAAACAAAAGTGATCTGGAATCGGAGACCAGTCATAACCACAAATATTTGATATCACGAGTGACCTTTTGAAGTACGGAGATGAAAGTATCAGTTTAAAAGTTATAGTAAAAGTATCCAGGCAGGTGTTCTTGAGAAGACATTTTTTAAAATGAATTCGGGCGAAAAATGTGATGCTTGCGACGTTATTTTTTGAAATTGAATAAAAGTTCATATGATCTTCACTCAAATTGGAAATTTATTAAAGAGTTGGTTTAGAAACGGCAGGTAGAAATTTGTCATAACTTCTTTCAACATAGGAAATCAATTAAAATTGAATTATGTAACTGAAAAAATAGTGGAATACGAGTAACAAGGCATTTTCATAAACATTATCTTTTAAAAAATTCAAATGAACTTACACTGCGTCGTAGTTCGACCCTGATTTGATTCTAAGTAAACAAACCGAAATCGGCTAGTACTGATATTAATTTGTTTTTGCTTTCACAACAGAACTTGCTAGGTATTCCATCTTCAGTGAAGTAGTAAACAAACGACTAACCTTTTTCTTTCTCGGCAAATCATCAAGGTAGTAATCCATTACTATACCTTCATCGTAACTGTATGAAAGGGACGTTGGGAAAGGAGAAGAATGCGCAAGTGGAGGCGGTGATGGAGTAGATCTGTATGAGGCTGAACTGCTAGTGCTGCCAGGTGATGTTCCTAGGAATTGAAAACCTAGAATAGAAAACAAATCTTATTTACTCGCTTCTCCCTGATCAGAGGCGGTAATTATCATTATACTATAGTCCGTTCATAATTTGTTGATAGCTCACTGCAAGTTTGACCCTCATTAGAGAACTGAAATACAGAGAGGACAGCTAATATGATATGATAACAAAAACCAAACTAAAACTGACAGTTTAAGATGTTTTCGACTAACCCACCTTGTATCTGAAGAAATACAATACAGCTATAAAACTTTTAATCCGATTATGTAGGTATTTTGAGTGGAAATGAGTGACCAGTGTCGTAGAGTATATGATTAAAACATTGGTTACTTTAAATAAATAAATATATTAATATTCCTAAACTGTAGGTACCTACTGTAAACTGTATTTTTATTTTAAAAAAATTTCTTTATTTTATTCAAAAAAAATAAGTTACTTGCAATTTGTAAAAGATACATTTATTTAATTAATACCTATTTTTAAATGATATAAACTACGATTACTTACAAAACTATTCAAATTCAAAATAAACAGGATCATCTTCGGAATCCGAGTCGTCTTGCAGGTTAATAATAAGCGGTTGTGTCTCTACAGTCGCATCAATTATATTGTCAAGATCCCACATTTTTTGTTCTTTTTCTATTGCATGTCTTACTGCATCTCGCCAATTTTGTTCTGTAATATGTTGTAAAGACTCATATAACAATTCACGTACAGCTTGTATTTTATATGACGTATTTTTTCTAGCCACATAGCTTTTCATTTGTACCCAAATGAGTTCAATTGGATTTAATTCGCAGTGGTAGGGTGGAAGTCTAAGGACTGTGATGTTTCGTCTTTCCACCATTTTGTCAACTACGTATTTCTTGAACTTAGATTTGTGTTGCCGGGCAATTTTTAAACGTTCTGCTTTAACCATTCCATCTTCGTAAGGCAGGGACTTATTCCGCAGCCAGTCAATGATATCCTGTTTCTTCCACGCAGTCGTTGGAAGTCTTTCAACTAGTCGTGAACGATAAGGTGCATTATTATCTAATACTATAATTGAGTTTGGTGGTATATGTTCAATCATCTGCTCAAAATACTCTTCGAAAACATCAGCTGTCATCTCCTCGTGATAGTCTTTTGTGCTTTTGGATTCAAATTCCAACAAACCATGCTTAGCAAATCCTTTTTCACTGCCAATGTGAGAAACTATTAATCTACTGCCTTTACCAGAGGGTGGGGAAATACCAGTAGACCAACCTTCCATAAAGGCTTGCCTGGAGCTTGATATATTTTTATCTGTCCAAATTTTTGTGAGAGTATGATCTGCGTTTACCCACGTTTCGTCCTGATAGTAAATTGGCCTTCCTTCAGCCCGAAATTTTCTTAGATACTTTCTTCTCCAACATATTATCTCTTCCCGGTCAATCAAAAGTGATTTTCGGTCTGATTTCTCCCACCGGAAATTTAATTCTTTTAAAACTTGCCACAATTTGGTTCGTCCGACATGAGGCAAATCCGGGTCGTCTCTAACTTCTTGTAAAATTTTGTTTAAGTTGGGTATTTCTTTTTTGTAAAAAAAATCGTGAATTTTCCTTCGAATACCATTTTTGGCAAATTCATCAATTTCAATAGGTTTTCTCCCCCTCTTTGAATATTCGTTTGTATTTGGGTTAGCTATACCTTTTTTTCTTCTTTCTGATAGGAACCTATATATTGTTGACTCCCCTACGCCCGTCATGTTGGCACAACTCTTGATTATGTTCTGAACAGTGTTTGTGGGATTCTGAGAAACCAGAGCATCGTGAACGTTCAAAACAATAGTCTTCTCTCTTGGTGAATAGACAGACTTACTGACTGTACGCAACAGTACCGGTGTAAAACTTGATGATGTTGATGATGATGACGAAGCCATCGCAAGCAATCAAACAAAACAAGCAGGAATGAAAGGTACGTATATGTTTGTAGGAATATGAAAAAAAGTTACTCACGCACTGCACAAAATTCGCAAAATAAATATTAGAGACGTTAATTACTGCCGTAGACGCCGAAACACCAACGAGCCGTAAATTAAATGCGATTAAAAAATGTACTAAACCAAAAATTATTTTCGTTCGTAACAACTTCACCCTTTCAAGGCAAGTTTCGAATATAAACTGAAGCTTTATATTTAATGAATAAACACCTCAGGAACCTCCGCCTATGATTTTACGAGTTTTACGACCGTTTTATGACTTGGGCCCTCATTTTGTGCTATCGACAAATTATGAACGGACTATAGATGATACCATAGCCCGAAAGCGTTGCATACGATCTGCCATAGATCTCATCATTGGTACTAGGCAGGGTCATGAATGCAACGACCAAAATCACGGATATCGAAGAATAAACAAGGGTTCCTGACATCGGTTTTACAGATTTTGAAATGAAATTCAAAGAAAAAGGGCGATAAAATGCAACGTCATTAACATTTGACCAAACTTTCCATTAAAACACCCAAATGCCAGCACGTATTTGTTTTGTACTACGTATTTAATTTTCAACTGATCGAAAGAAATGATGCGTTCTGTCAAATGCACTCACGGCTGTCATCAAGAACTGTGACAGATAGACCCCTATTTTTTATCTAGAGGGGACATTCTTTTTCGCTAATTTTAACTCAACCACCTAAAATTTTCTTTACATTAGACTTTGAATTTATATATTCCATCTGATAGTTTCGACAACAATTCTTTGACATAAATATTCTAAAGACGCTGATACTGATGCAAATGTTGGTTTAGGTCAGTAGACTACAATCAGCATCTTAAGGATTTGAAAATGGTCAAGCAAAAAATGCCGGAAAAGAGGATCCCCATTCAATGAAAAATTAACGGGAGCTTGTGTTTTCCTAGAATGTTGACCTAGATTCGTTTGGCCACACTGTACATGCTTTGCTGAACCTGTTCTGAATCGTTATCAAATCCGTAACTGAATACAATAGGGGTATAATCTGGTAATTTTAATGTTACCACTGTCTATAAAAAACTGTAATGGAATCAGGAACTTCAAAACAACTCTTCGACAACCGAAATAAGGTACATTCCACAAAAAGTAGTTGCAATGATTGTATACAGAAGCCAATGCGTTACTATCGAGGGACTGAATACTTTGAACATATAGTACATGTACTTTTTTTTGGAACATTTTTCAGCCCTGTCCAAAAGTTTCGACCAAGGTGTCATTCGATTCGTATTTTTGCCTAGAAAGTTTATGGAAAGGTCCGAAAACGCGCCGATAAACATTACAAAAGTTATAAACAATTAAGTGAAAAAATAAATAACCTACAAGTAAAAATATAATAATTGAATAAATAAAAATTAAAGGAATGCAAAAAAGAAAATAATAAAAATAAAGTGTCGAGATTCCAAGTCACGTTAGTTCACGAAGACGATTGTAGATACCAACAATCGAAACGTCGTGTTCAGTTCAGGAAGTGTTCGCGATTTGAGTGTTGAAATTCGATATTGGTGCAGTTATAATTACTTAAAATTTTTGTTATCTGTTCAAAATGGGACATCCTTGGACAAGTACTAATACGAGTAGTAATAACGAGAGTGATAACAACGTAGACTCTTTCCAGTGTAGTGATTCCAATAGCGATGGTGAACAATGCGAAGAAGATATACCAGTGAATAAGATTTGGATGAATTTGAATATTGAAACACTGAGAGTATGTTTCATTGTATATGAGAATCTACATATCAAGTTTGATTTCGAGGGAAACAAACTATTACAAGCGACATCAGATTTGACCGAAAATCCTTTCTCAACTGTACGTAAAATAGTCAAAAACAAACCATATGAACGCAAGACGCGATGTGATACAAGATTACCAAAACCTTTGGATGTTCATCTAATAAAATCATTGAAAAAAACAATATACGACTGTTACGAAAGCAATGAGATTCCTACAACTGAAATCATAAGGAAGAAATTGAATACTTCCGGCCATAACGTGAGCTGGTGTGAATACACTCTTCAGAATTGGATGAAGAAAGTAGGATTTAGATTTAAAATAATAAACAAACGTCAAGCAGTTATGGAAAGCATAAGAACAGTGGAATTGCGCAACAAATACTTGGAACAAATAACTAAATATAGACAAGAACAACGACAAATTTTCTATTTGGACGAAACTTGGTATGACACTCACAACATAGTTACGAAAGGGTGGACTGATGGTTCGAGAATGGGAACGCCTAACATGCCTGCAAACAAAGGATCGCGTCTAATCATTGTGCATTGCGGAGAAAGTAAAGGATGGGTTCCGAATTCTTTGAAATTATGTGGAAAAAACTTGTGGACTGCAACGTTGACTATCATAAGAACATGGAAGCTAATGTTTTCGAGGAATGGTTTGAAAACACATTGATCCCAAATTTGGATGCGAATATTGTAATAGTTTTTGACAACGCTTCCTATCATTCGCGACAGCTCATCAAAGTACCGAATAAAAATTCGAGGAAAGATGAAATACAAAGTTTTTAATTGAATAACAATTTGTATTTTGAAGATTACTATATCAAAAACCAAATACTTGAAGTTTTACAGACAAAAACATTTGAAAAAGTGTTTGTCCTTGAGAGTATTGCTGAAAAGTATGGACAACCATACTGAGACTTCCTCCTATTTTTGTGTTTTCAATCCCATCGAGTTGATTCGGGAAAAATTGAAACAAAGCATCGGCCGTAAAAATAACTTTTCAAAATTTGGTAAGAAGGTAATAGAGCTAATTAAAGAATATCTAATATTACCAAAGAAGACTGGCAGAAAAGGATTAAAAAAGTAATTTTAGTTGAAAAAGAATATATGGAGATTGGACACTTCCATATTGATGGTGGAAATAAATTCATTATTGATTTAAATGACGACAGTGATAGTGAACCAGAGAATATATTATATAGTTATTGTGATTCTTATATATTCATAAATAATTATTGAATAACGAAATTAGTTAGCTCCCTGAGTATATTATTAAAA